TCCATAATTCCAAGGAATTTACATGTGCTAAGCAATCGCAGTGCTTGTTTCACAAGTTGACATAATTTTGAATAAAAAATAGGAATATAGGGTACATTTCACTGATACATAAAAATGAAATGCATCTCCTATATAAAAGGAAAATAAGTTGTCATTTCTAGATCTTTAAAACATCACTGCAGCAATTGCTGATGGTTTTGGTTTTTTGTTGTGGTTTTTTTTTTTTATTATTCCTCTTTCAAAAAGTAACTGAAGCAATAGCAGGTTGAAAAGTCTTTACCAAAACTAGAAAATGCAGTCTTAGTTTAAATTGATTTCTTCATTAAATGGCTCCAATTTCTGGCAAATCTATTTCTCCTGCAAGGCCCAACAGTGTAAACATTTTGCTTTTCAGAAGAACAAAGGAATGACTTCTCTATGAACTACCTGCTTCTTCCCCAGTTGGCCCACGTTGGCATCCATGCAGAGAACAGGGACAGTTCTGCTGCTTGTTCAGCAAATGACCTCACATCTAACAAAAAGGACAAAGCATTTAACCATTATGCTTTCCTTTCCTGTTTCATCCCCCCACCTTTGCTTCTGTGGTAAGCTGACTTCAGCTGCCAAGAGCAAAGCAGATGGGAGCCTGACCCTGCAGCAAATGTATTTTAAGTCATGGGGTAGCGATAGAAGCTCTGAAGGCTATCATCAAAGCAATAGAATAACGTCCCACAGAGAGATGGAGTTGCACAGCCCACATTTTATCTCAGCAAGACTGCGCAGCTAAGTGTAGGGATCACTTTGAAAATGAAAAGGGGCTGGGAATTTGATTAGATGCTGATATGATTTTATATTCCATTTCCTATAACATTTCTTGAGCAAAAAGAAAGGAGAAGTTCAGAAACTCTCCAACTATTCATTTCAAAATTGGGCAGAATTGGAGAATGTTGAGGATAAGATGCTGTACTTTCAGATGTGATAATATCAGTGGAGCCTTTGGAAAAGAAAAACAAGTTATGTGGCAAATAAAGGGGATCCCAGCAGAGCAAAATCTTGCTACAACATCTGTGTTTATCTTTCAGCTGTGCTACTGGAGGTTTTTTTGTGAGTAATTCCTGAGGGAACGTCTGGAAAACAGGGCAGTGTTCTAGTCCTTACTATTATGGGTTGCATGTGCATACTAGGTTGTCAGGTAGCACAGCCTCCTAGGAGTGGACTGAAACAGCTGGTGCTGAGCACTTATTGCCTGTTATGTGTGCTTAGGGGATTGCTCCAGAATGCATCTAGGCTGTTCCCGAGCTGAATTCCCAAGAGGAATTTTCTGTTCAGTTCCAGATTAGGTGGATCTTCCAGTTCAGTTTCATCCAAATAAAACTCAGTTTCTATGCTCTGAGGCACACCATGACAATGCTAAATGGCAGTGCTCAGGAAAGTCACTCAAAAAGCACACTTCTTGTGCTGACACGCTAATAAAGATGCATCTTCAGATACCAATTGCAATACTGATGTCAATAAAAGCTTATGTGTAGATTCAGACTTCTCGGGTTGCCAAATCTCAGACATGATTCATCACTCCATCACTTCAGATTCTTCAGCACAATCCTCTGCTGACTCTATCAACTCTTTCACAAAAAGCATGCAGTCATAGTCCAACAGAGCTGAGGCTAACAGTCACCAGGCTGGCAGCTGTCATTCATTCACACTGTACTTCCCAGAATCCCTTTTTCTGTATTTACTGATTAAATGAGAATATGAATACTAAAGTAGACGTCTGAGACAGCTGGAATGACTGTCTGAAGATTATAAAATGTTCTGTTATTATAGCGAATAATATTTTTACTAGTGAAGAAGAGCCAATGGAAATACTCCAGTGCTATGTGTTCATTAATTCCTATTTTCCATCTAACCTTGTGTAAATATCTTGGTTGCTATGTAGTGTTTTAAATGCAATGAACACTGAGAAGATCAATAAAAGAGAAGAATGTTCACAAGGATTTATTTAGAGCTCCTATTGACCAATACATATCTATCCTACTTAGAATTTAGTAACTGCAGATGAGCAGGACATTTATAATAGAAGACCCCCAGGCATACAAAAGAAAATGCCTCTGGCTGAGATGAACTTGCACACGCAATGGGGATTTGCAGCACACACACTAGCAACAATCCATTGAGTTAAAGGAAAACTGACCTGGAAGGTCCTGCAGCAAGTAACTTTCCATCCAGCAGTTTGAATGCAAACCATCAGGTCTGGAGTCCAGAAGAAAAGTACTTATGCTTTATACAACTGATTACAAAAACTAAAATTGATTTAAGGACTTACAAAAACAAAAATCTCTACCATAAAAAAATAAACAAATAAGTAAGGACAGACTTCACTATCTCATTTGTTGCCCACTTTTATGAACTGTTATTGGCAGCATCCTCAACTAAACTCATCATCAGCCTTCTAAAGGCTGTGAGATCTCCAAGAAGCTGAGATTTTTTATCACCTAGCAAGCAAAAAAATCCCACAAAACTTTGTTCTACGATACACAGAAACATGTGATTTGGGGCCCAAACCCCTGAGAGAAGAACTGTTGCTCTAAAGAATTTTAATGCCTGTTCATAGAATCACAGAATCGATCAGTTCCAACCATCAGCCTGACCTATTGAGTCCTACCACTAAACCATATCTCTTAGTGCCACATCCACACGTCAGCGATGGGGACTCCACCATTTCCTTGAGCAGCCCAATCCAATGTTTGAAATAGAATTAGATTATACAGAATTCAGCAGTTAAAAATAGCATCTTGAAAATATATAAGGAAGGTGGAGGCAACACCTGGAATTTTTCACTTACAGGCATTTGAACCATGGATGACAAATACATCCTTATTACTTCTTTTTATGAGATCCACCTCTGGTACCTTATGCTTAATGAACAGTGCAATATTAAATGTCAGTCACTGCTACAAAATGCAGCACAGAGAAGCCATGTAACTCTGCTGCTTTATACTGGCCTGGCTGCAAGTCTAGAAAATGCTTTTTCCTTGTCTTATCAGAAGCTACAGATTTTAGTAAGCACAGTTTCAGTACCACGTGCATCTTGGCTCAGGGCTGTTAGTGATTTTAAAGTAAAGGTTCTTGCATATATTCATAATTTAATTCTTTACTGAGACCTCTCAGATCCGTGTCTATGAGTGGGTTCTTAACCACAGAATTGCTTAGATTGGAAAAGACCTTCAAGATCATCAAGTCCAACCACAAGATCATCAAGTCCAACTACAAAAGATGTTACACTGTCTTATGTGTTATTCATAGCAATAATAAGGAACAGTTCTGATCATGGTCCAGGAAGTTTGTCTTACCAGTAGGTCAGAGAAGAAAGGGGAAGGCATGATAATACTGATTTCAGTTACAGAAAGTGGGAGTCTGAAAACCATTTATCATTTAAGTCCTGTTGACTTTCATAAAAGTTGGGATCATAAAAAACCTTACCTCTGAATGCTTACCCAAGAATCTGAATTTATCACGGTATTCCTGTCACCTCAGTTTGTCATCTCTTATGTAATTTAATACAGCCATTTAAACTTACTTTATAGTCAATGCAGAGAGAGCAGCATCTTCAGAGAAGAAGTCATCCTGTCCATTTTTTTTTTGCGATGAGATCAATTGCTTTATGAGATACCTATCTCTGCAGTGTGCTTGAGTATGACAGCATTCAGAAATGAAAAAATATAGACTAATGAACAGAAGCAAATGAAAATACTTTAAGACTAGCCCTCATTAGGGTTTAAATGCTATCTGATTTTGTCTTTTTTTTGTTTCTTTCACTTTTGCTTTTTTTAAAGGTATTTTGACAACACTGGTTAGTAAGGTTTAAAAATACTCCCACGGTGGAATATATTTAAAATTATGCACAGAGTTTATTCAGTGAAATAACTTAAACCATAAGATCATTAGAGTTTAATCATAGATTTGTACATACAAGATATTCTAAGCTACATAGAGTCATGAACTTGACACAGAGAGGCACATTGCATTTGGAAGAGGTATTTCAAGTTGACTTACCACCTCTTGATAATGAACACAGTCAAGCCTTGAGACTTTTACTGCAGCATTTCAGCAGAGGCCAGGCACTATCAGCTAGTATACAGAGGTCGGTTCACAAGTTAAGGGTCAGTGTAATGATTAAAGGTCACTCTAAAAGGAGATAGGATTTTAAATGAGAGCTAAAACCTTTTGAAGGCTGCACATTTTGACACTGGCCATCCTCCCTTGGCAGGAGCACAATTTCAGTTTTAGATCTTTGGCCATCAGAGCTGGTTGCCATGTTCACAGCATGCGTTTCTCTCCAGGAACTCCAGCTTGCTTCAAATGAACATAGGCATCTATTTAGTAACTCCTCCTTTCAGAATCAATAAAACACAGATTTGCAGAGGTACGCTTTTGCAAATAACCTGGCATTTTTACTCATGTGGACAATGTTCTTTTAGGAACTCAAACTTGGAAGAAAAACAAAGGATAAAAGCATATCTCTGCTTTTGACTCTGCCCATCCCCTTGTCCTTTTCTCCTAAAATTTCAGCTTCCCCTCTGTAATATTGCCTAGTTTCCTGACACATTCTTTCTTTCATTCTGAGTTTCAGTCATGCTGTTTTCAGAGATTCTGTTCTCCTTGGCTGCCAAAGGCTAAAAATATGTCTGGTCACTTTTCTTCTACCAGTGCATTCGAGGTTATCCTATTCATATGCTGATGGTCCTTGAAAAGCCCTTCATTCCAACCTGGCAATAGCTACAAGTTACCTAATTCCTATCATTCTGCTTTTCTGGAATCAAATTTTCCTTTAGTCCCGATGGCATCAAAGTAAATGGGTAAAACGAGTCAATGTAGCAACTGACAGTACAGAAGATGAATGGGTAAAATGAACCATATCCATCTTTCATGAGAGTAATGCCAAAATTCAGCACCCATCTCACTACCATCAAAAAAAAAAAAAAAAAAAAAAAAGATGCCACCTGTTTAAAAATAATGAAAATTTTAACTTAGCTGCTCAGATTCTTGCATAGTCACACAGCAGGCATTCTTGCTTACAAAGAAGTTATAGACTCCATCCTTGAGTGGTGTGGTCAAGTATGATTCTGTGGGGGGTAGTGAGGAACTGGAATGTTGTACAAAGACAAGAAAAAAGAAAATTATCTTGATACTGGAATATTACTGAACCCTAATACTCATTATTTAGCTTTCAAGAGAAGAGAACAACTCCTGGTGAAATGTGAGAGGGCCCTGGGCACATCCTCCCCTTCTCCAGAGCTTTGGGACAGTCCTGCTGTGCCACAGGTACAGCACCCACAGCCACCCACACTGCGCCCCAATGGGCTTTGAGCACACAGCAAAATAGCATGGCTCACAAAGGCAAAAAATATTGTATAAAAATACCATTAAGGATACAGCTCTGAGGAAAAATAGCTGTAGTAGACCCATTACTAACTACAGTCTCTTAGCTCTCATAAATTATTACAGAAAGAGGAATGAAAAGAGTCCATAGTATTACCAGAATTACATACCGAGCTGTCTAAGAGATCTAGATGGTTTCCTCCTAAAGCACTCACTCCTCAGCCCCTCATGTATTAGCTTCCCTGCTGGCAGCTCCTGTCTGCAATGCTACAAAAATCAGTAATCTTCCACATGTGAGCTTCTGTTCCATTCATCCCTCCTGTGCCAGGGAGCATGATGGTGTCAGAAAACATCAGAATCCTACAAAAACGAACACGGGCCATGAATTATTGAAGACCAGTATTAATATCTATAGAATGAATAATATATGTTGAGGCAAGCCTCATTATTTTTCAAACTTCTTTTGTAACGTGACTCATTGCTCTTTTGCATGTGAAAATATACCCATATCATCTACTTTACAATTGAATAATACTATTTTCACAAATCCAAGTGTTAACTCACTTCTTTTGATACTTCATTTTAGCTCCACAGAACCCAAAATAGCAAGAGTCATTATTTTTACTGGTGGGCCAGAGATGGGTTTTCAACATCCCCAAAGTTTTAGACAGAGGAGATTTGAAAAACATTACAATTGGATCATTTAAATTTGAAAGGTAAAAAGGAATGAAAGATTAGCCATGGAACTATGACAGTCTGTCTGAATTCGTTTATGGTGTGCAGTAAGAGCTATTGTAGTGATAGGCACCCAGAGACAGCAAGAAGATGAAAGGAAGTTAGAAAGAGTCGTATGATGTCAGGAGGTGATAAGGTTGAGTGATAGTACATTTGTTAGTAGTGACATTAAAGCTTTTGGATTTGTCACACACAGTGCTAGAAGCATGACATGCTATGTGACAGTTTCTCAATGTGTTCTTTTTGACTCTTTTTGGAGAATTAATCCTGTCCAAAAAACCATCATGGCTCTGTCAAAAGTCCGAAAATAGAAATTTTGGTAAGGGAGTAAATATGTAGGTCATTCATCAGCAGATATAAAATGCAATTTTTAGAACTATATGTCTGAAGAGCAGGGAAGAAGTTACAAATGAACATTTGTATAAGAACAATCTTCAAATGACGCTATGGTCTCTATTTTCAAGAACGTGTCCTACTTTTTGTCATGTAACTATAGTGCCTAGAAGGTGGAAAACAGACCATATGCAAATTATTTCATACGTAACATCTCCTAGAACATGCGAGTAACTGGTTAAAGAAGGGTCTGAGTTACCAGAGGCTATTTCACTGAATTGTTTGAGTTGGAAGGGACCCTTGAAAGCCATCTGACCTAACCCTCCTGCAAGGAACAGAGACATCCACAGCTCCATCAGATGCTCAGAGCCCAGTCTAGCCTGAACTTGAGTGTCTCAAGTGACTTGAATATCAATCTCTCTGGGAACATGTTCCAGTGCTTCACCAGTCTTATCTTAAAAACCTTTTTCTTATACACAGTTTAAATCTTTCCTCTTTCAGCTTGAAATCATCTCTCCTTGTCCTCCTTGCCCACACCTCTTGGGCATGAAATTTCTCAGATAGCACATAACAGAGGCAGGTTCCATTGAAAAAGGATTTTCCTGGAATATAATCTAAAAATAGGGAAAGAATAATTATGTTTCCATCAAAAATAGAAACTTTTGTTTGTTTGTTTCAAGGAATTGTTAAAAAAAAATCAGAATTAACAGAGGATTTTCATATACTCTTTTTTTAAAGTGAAAATCCTTAAGAGAACTCTAGTTTAAATTTTCATTCTCCATGAGACTTCTGAAGAGCACAGAATTGCACGGTACTTGATACGTAGGATTAGACGAGGTGCCCGAAGACATAGACTAAGTCCATGCCTTTTGAAACCTCTAGAAATTCTATATTTCTTCCACATACTTGAGTCCAAAAAGACCACATAACGTGACCACCACAGACCTGTGAACCACAACTCCACATTTCTAAAGAAATCAGCATTCAAATGCTGTCTCAAAACTGTCTCAGAGGACAATGACAAGCCAACCTAAGACTGCTCTGTTACCCAAAGGTACCTCCCCATCTTTCCTCTTGATCCTGGTTCCATGTAATTACCCTTAATTTATTGCTAAAATTACACGGCCCACAGGGTAAATTCAGTCCTTTCATTGCTCAAATGAAAATGAACCATTTAATTTTTGGAGGTTACATTTTCAGTCCAATGATTCACTGCAGAACTGCTTGAATATTAATGCTTACTTACAGAAGCAGGGGGGAACTCACAGCTGGAGGAGGTGAAGAAGTCAGATAATCCCCTGAGACAAAGAGTCCAGTTATGAAAATGCAACTTAGTATTCTCAAAAAGTCCTCTAGTCTTCATAGTAAAGCTTTGAAGCATTATGCAAAAGGAATAACAAGTTCATATCCACAGAAAATGTCAAATAAATAATTTCTAAAGACAGAGAGATTTTAACACGGACTCAATCATTACATCTTTCATTAAAGCAGTGGTAAGACATTTGGGCCAGCCATAAAACATACAATTCTGTGTTCCAATTCAGAAAGCATTACAATTTTTATTTAGCTGCATTACTGTTAGAAAACATTATGAAAATCAGTTGTGTTTGATTGACACACTTGGAGATTTTGCTTGCACAATGACTGTGTAGATTCCCCTTAGGGTGAACTAAATAAATAAATGTAAGGACCAATATAATTTTCTGAAGCAGAGTGAAAAAGTAAAAATAACATTTAAATATCTTTGCCTTCCACCCTTAACTTTCTTGTGTATAAATAAAAACATGTGAGTTGCTCTAGCAAGCTCAATATTTCAGTGCTATGAAACAGCTTTGAAATATAAATTCTCTACTAACAAAAAATATTTAAAATAACTCCTGTTTGTAATTTATTTATTGTAAGCACAAAATGCTTTCCCCTCTGTTTTTAATTACAAGCTAATCATCCTTCCGTCTTTTATCTTTTCTTAAGAATACCTATGTTATAAAATGATGAAGTTATTAACTTGCTTGCATGCTGGGGTTTAATGGTGCATCGAAAAAAAAAAAAAGCAAAAACAACACCATGATGTGGTAGGCTACTCCACTTTTCTGCTGCTTAAATGAAAGTGCACGAATAGATTTACCCAACAAAGCCCTCAGCACCCTGTTTTGTTCCCATAAAAATGAAATTACTTTTTGAGTTACTAGATTTCAGTGCTCTTCAAATCTAGGTGGTTATCTCTGTAGTAACAACTAATGTGGATTAAGTGTTGTGAATAAAAGCTAAAATGCGTGTACCTCACTTTAACATTGAGACATAAAAACTGCTTTATAGAAGCAATGAAATGAGAAGTGCACCCAGCAGCCAAAGTTCATTGGTTAAATTGAGGAAGAGTATTCAGTATTCTGTGCATGAAGCTGCCATAATGCATAAGAGTAGAACCACATATAATTTAATTCAATTATTCAGATTAATATATTTTCAAAGCCAATGTTATTACATAAACAAATTAATACACATTGAGAATGCAGATTTAGTCTGTTGCAACCCTTGTCAACTGATCAGACTGTAAGAAACATATAAAATGAGACCTAAAATAGGATAGGACAAGATTTTATTATCAAAACCAAATCAAAACCTAACTGCAAGAAATTTGGCTATAGCTTCTCTGTATTGCCACACTATAATACGTATAGCATCAGCAAAAAAGATATTTCAAAAGGTAGTCAAATGTCCTAGGATTGTTTAGACTTTAGTCAATTCCTTGAAATATGTGACCTCTGAAAATTGTCTTGGCATTTGACTGTTCCCATTTTGAAAAATGCATCTATATTTTCTAATGTTTCTTCTTTAGTTAAAATTAATGATCTAGCCCTGCAAAGATTTTCTTGCAGCACACACTAATACTGAGATATAGATCTCCTTGAATCAAGATGAATGTTTTATAATTCACAGATTCTTTTGAGAAGTTCCATGAATCGAGGACTTCTTAGTGGCTAAGCAGACTGGGCATATCCCCAGTCACTGAAATCAAATGCTGTTTGCAGTAAAAAAAGGTTTAAGAATGGATAGCAAATTGAAGAGCTACTTCTATCTTTGTAATATACAGTCAATTACACACATTTGACTTATATAAAGAGTGCCTCAAATTTGACTTGCATTGGTTTGTTTGCTGCTTGGATTAATAGAATGGTTGGAACTCAAGTTGGACTCCAATGAACAGACAGCTATATATTTGTTTGCAGAGGAAACCAGACCTCTGCTCCTTAACAACTTTGCATTCTCAGATCTACACATGCAAAGAGTAATAGATCTGAAACAAGTAGGTAAAAAGAGGCCAACACACAGATATGCACATCAGCTTCTTAGCATGATGCTAACAGAGGATAAATGCAAATTTTTGTCGTTTTTCAGGGGAAATAGAAGAAGAGTTTTCCTCTCGGAAAAAGTTGTTTGCATGCTCACAGTTTCCAAGTACTGATTTCTCATTAGAATGATTTGTGAATGCCTATACCCTGACACTCCCTGACCTCCTACCTCCAGCAGCTCCAGCTTTGCTAGGAATTTTGCACCATACTGAAGAGCAAAGCTGGTTCTGCTTCTCAGGTCAGCCATTTTCTCAAACTTCCTGGCAGCTCCTTCAGCTCTGCAGTTCATTGTGCCTACCATCTTTCCTCACTTTGAATTCCCTCTGGCTCAGTAATGATCGATTTGCCAGGAAAATTTTAACTTAGCACCTTTCAGAACATATCAATTACTCTAAAAGCTCTCTCGAGTCATTGTTTATGTGCCCATATCACCTTCCTATCTTAGTTTCCATTAACCTGGTAAAACCTCTTGATGTAGCCTTTGCCAGTTCTTGTGCTTTCTCATTTCAAAGTCTAGAACTTATTTGCCACGGTAGTTTTTGGTGGTGGTTTTGTGTTGTTTTGTTCATAGCTTTATATTGGCACAGTCCTTTCTGGACTATGTGTGATTTTAATGATCTGAATATACTACTGACTGTCACATCTTCGAGTTGACCCTTATCCACTGCAACTCAGAAGGAATCTACATCTAAATATCTTAATGCACTTTGACACCTTGGAGTAAACTTGTCAGGTGTTTTTTGTTGTTGTTATTGTTTTCTTTTGTGCCTCTCTCTTATCAACTAACTTGTCAGTTCCACCACATAGGCTGTCAGGAACTACATGAAGCAAATGCATTTTGTGAATTAATATTTATAAAGACAGGCAGTGGGATGTGATTTTCATGCTAGAGGAGGTTTCATGCTAAATACAAACTACTTATGTGTTAAATTTTCCATCAATAAAAGAACTAATGCATCAAAGAATGACCTTTACGCATCCATCTATGCCATCAGTCTTAATTCAGATACCCTGCAATATCGTTTAAGAGGATAATTATGTTGTTAACCTGGCACATAAATCTTCAGTGTAAAAATTAGGCATATGGACTGAGTGATATTTCAGCTCTCGGGTTCCATTCCATAACATTTTGTTAGGCTAACAAGAAGAAACAAAGGATTCACTTGTAAATTCAGAGGCATCCTTGCTAGAATTCAGTAAAACAGAAGTTTCTTAGTAGAAGTCAAGGTGCTGTCCTATACTGTCGTGGTTTATGTGACAATATGCAAAAATAACTTCAAACAGTTATTTATTTTCTACCCTTAAAACCAATCACGATGGAGTGGTGGTGTTTTTTGGAGTTTCAAGTTAAAATACATTAAAATAAGTAAAGATTTGCCCTAAAACCAGCAGACAGCTATCCTTCCTGAGAGGTTACACCAACAGGCAGTGACAGACAGAACATAATTTGGACACATTCATGTAGAACAGTGTCATAGCAGCTACTGCCTTGAGAAGCCTCCCTTCCTTTCAAACTATGGATAGTCTTTCTACACTACCTGGTACTTGCAGTGTAATTTCCATTCCCGTGTCCGAGCCTTTCCTTCTTTCCCAAAACGACATCCTTTGTAATGAGATTTAGAAACCATTCCAGAGGTGGTATTTTTAATTATGAGCTCACTATTTTATATATGTTTATATCACTCCGACTCTGTCTTTCATCTGCCTTTCCTCGGTAGACTGCAAGATGTTCAGTCTTAACTTATAAATTCTTAATGATGTAGTTAAGGAGCACTGGATAAATTTTAGCTACAGAACGACTCTAAGCTGGTGCCTAGTGTAATTGCATGTTGCAGTAGAAATGCTATACTTTGTTCATTTCACCAACAGAAAAGCATCCTTCCTTCTCTAGCAAAAGAAGTAAAATTGATATGATACCAATTTCACCGATTATCGTGTTCTTCTGATTATGAAACACTGTCTTGTGTGAAACATCAGAAGAACATGATAATCAGTGCAAAGAACTGCCTAGGCACTTAGACTAATTCACTGTTTTTCTATAAGTAAACAAAAACCACACACACACCATTTGTCTCATTCACTGAAAGTTCCATTACATTCTACAGAGAGTTTGAGCTCCATCTGCAAATGCAGCTGACTGTGCTCTGCTCATTGAGATCTAACTCTTACTTGCAGGCAGCAAACTTCATCAAGCAAAAGAAATTACTTAGGAATTAGCTTCAGAGGAAAAGCTGGCTCAAGTATTGATCAAATTTACTGTTTCAGAAAGTTCTTAAGTGTATCATTTTTCCACAGTTGACACATCCCACGGAGATATCGAATGCAATGGAGCAGGTTAAATTATTAATAGCTTTATAAGGTGAAGAATCTTATCACTACACAAAATCAGTAAAATAGGTGAGCTACAGAGGGTCATCTATCACCATGTACCAAGTAGCCTTCACATGCTTTCCCAAGTGTCTTTGATTAAGGGTTTCTCATCCATAATTTGTTATAAATGTGGGGGTATTCATATCCATAAGCTTGTTACTGTAGACAGAAAAGATATAGCAGAACAGGAATGGGACAATAGATAGAGAAACCAGTAAGGTTTCAGGAAAAAAATACATATTTCCATGGAGAGAAGAGAATACGTCTCCATGAAGAGACTTAGTTGTATCAATGTCATTGTAAGAGAATTGTAAAAGCAGTGCAGGAAAAAGGTACATGTATTCCAAGACTACTAAATTAAGCAAAGACTGTAACAGGAGATTGGCTTTAATTGATATAGTCTGGGGACTTTCAGCAGCCCACAAAATAAATAGGGACCTGATCTGTTAAGAAAGATATTTGCTGCAACTAGGACTTTTCTTCTCTCCGATTTTGTGTAGTTAAGTGTCTGTAGTATTAATTAATGCAAGAACACATTTGCCTAAGATTCACAGAATTTTAAAGAGGACCCCGTAGGCATATTTGGAAAAGTTCCACAAACTGCAGAGTTCTCTTTTGATTCCAAAAATAGAGGTTAACCTGAGCACTGACAATCAGTGCATTAGAAAACTTGATTTAGCAAAACAAAACAGAACAGGCAGTGAAAGAGATTGAGGTCAAGGTCACAGGACCCGAAATGATGTTAAAAAACATCCCCAAGACTTACATTCCATTCCTCTGTTCAAACATCTCTATGCTTCTATGTTTGTTTTTTTGTTTGTTTGGTTGGTTGGTTTTTGTTTTTGTTTTTTACAGAAAAGAGCTAGGGAATTAACAGTGTTATAAACATCCATAATCTGCAAATTTACGTTTTAGAAACAGTCAGAAGAACTAGCTACGAACTGTTTTCCTTCTCTTGTTTATAACATAAAAGTTCTCAGTTAGGTAGTCTGACATCTGAAAGCATAGCATAGTGTAGGTGATCAATTACTCGTAACACCAAAGAATAAATATAAAGCAGGATTTAAACTGCTTGTCTGAACTGGTCAGCTGTTATTCCATGGGAAAATTAGCGTGTATTCAAACTCTTAAACTGCTGATGTTCTTTTTGGTGATTAAGTAGAAAAATAAACAACAAAAATTATATTCCCATACTCCCCAATGAAGCAGTCATGGCACCAAGCCTGCTGGGCTTCAAGAAGCATTTGGGCTCCATTTGACATGGAGGTTGAATTTTGGGTGGTACTAAGAACCCAATGATCTGTGTGGGTCCCTTCCAACTGCGATTCTTTGATGATTCAGAAGGAATTTTGAAACATCTAACTAACATGAATATTTTATAAAGCAATTAAATGTATTCTTTAGGAGAACTTACAGATAATACACGGAGCCCCAATAAACCAAATATAAGGGAGATTTACTAACTAGTAGCTGTAAAATCATCAGCTCTAATTCTTCAATTTGGCTCACGTTCTAGTCAACAGGGTAGTAAGACAAAAGCTGTTTGCACCTTGAGGTTAATATCATCCCGATCAGCCCTGGCAAGCTGAAATAATTAATTGAGGTCATCTGGTAATTGTGCACTCTCCAAAAATTCAGAACTGCTCTTTTCCTCATTAAAATATATCATTTTTTCTTTATGGGCAGACCTTCCACGCTATCTTTTCAGCTCTTAGCTTCCTTGTCAGTCCCTGTTGAAGCAGAACAGTTCTGGGGGTGTTTTACATCTAGAATCAAGTGTTCCTCTCCCAGCTCTGCAAAGCATATTACTGCTATCCCACAGCTGTGTTTGGTTTGACAGCCCTCTTCTCCTGCGTCTTCCAGATATCAAGACAAGATTTCACACAACATTCATCTCAAAATCAGAGGGGAGTTGCTCTGCTGAAGTCTCACGCAGAGCTTAATGACAGCAATTGAAAGATTTTTGACAGGTGCTGCATTGCAGTGCTTACCTATCTGTAAAGACATCTTGTTTTCCTTCTCTGAAAGATGGGAGCTTAAGACACAGCTGCAGCATTACCACTCCTGAATCATAGAATCATAGAATGGCCTGGGTTGAAAAGGATCATTGTGATCATCTCGTTCCAACCCCCTGCTATGTGCAACCACCAAATCAGGCTGCCCAGAGCCACATCCAGCCTGGCCTTGAATGCCTCTGGGGATGGGGCATCCACAACCTCCTTGGGCAACCTGTTTCAACGCATCACCACCCTCCATATAAATATTTCCTCCTAATAAATACCAAGGAAGCTTTCTTTCACAGGAATTCCACTATTTTTGAGTTATTCTATCAAAATAAATTCTTGCCAGACCCTTTCTAGTACCAATTCTTTTTATTTTCAACTCATCATATATTTGCTGTTTGGAAGATAACACATCTTTCCATTCCATCCATTCCTAACTGTTCAGTCATGTTTATTTGCCATAAGCTTGATTTAATTTCTCAGCAAGGACCACAGGGAAATTGAGTTGCCCTTCATTAGTCTCTTGTAATTATGTTTTTAACTCTGCTTTCTAAAGCAGCTCTCAGATGCCTTCAGCTCTGGGGCTGTTTTGAATCATATCACTGCCTCATTACCTGACATTTTTAGAAAACTGCTGAAACAGATGAACTAACTTGACACGGAGACTGCTGCAGTATGTGTCCCAGTAACTTCAGATGGAAAAGGCGTGAGGAGGTGCTCTCAGTGGTGTATCAGTACCAGGCTGGATTTGATTTCTCTGAACTTTGTGATATTCTTGCTCATGGATAATAACCCATGTAGATTCAAAACTTCTAACTCTGATTAACGCCACTGCATCTTTCATAAGAACAGTACAGCCTTGATTGCATAGGCAGCATTAAGGTATAAATTTGCCAGTATCTGAAAAAGCTAATAAGCCCCTTTAGCTGACTAATTGGCTATTTTTGCACTATTTGATCGAGTCTGAGGGAAACCAAAGTATTTATTTATTTTTAAGTTAGAACAAATTGCCAGTCTTTGGAGCTATGCATTCTCTAACTTTCGCCCCTTTGTCTTCCTCTTACACGTGCCCCTTGAAAGACAACTCTTGCCCCTTGATGAGCAAACCTGACTTAAGAGAACACATCAGGGCAGCAATTGCTGAAAAACATATGGCTGCCCAGAGAAATTCAGACTACAAAAGAGAGACAAGAAAACAACCCTCAACACAGAACAAATCTGACCTCTTGAACTTCTTTCCCCTGGGCTGATGGATAGCCCTCTTGTTCAGAAATGCATACGGTTGGCATCTTCCAAATCTCCATTTGGACATGACACACGTTGCATCACTACAATCTTTTCTATTCACAAATGAATGGTCTTTGCTTTCTGGTGCGGCTCTGAAAGTGAGAGAGGTGGTCAGACTTCACATTTTTTTTGAACCAGTGATCACCATTATTCATCATCCTTTGTGATACTTCCTGTAATGGTAAATTTCCTACCATTAGGAACTGAACAGAGAAGTTTATTGCCTCAAGCTTAATTCAACACAGCACATACAAGACACAGTATCTCCTTAATGTACTAACTCCAGGCTTTGAATAAAATGCAGCTTTACAAGCAAATCTGAGTCTTAACGTTCAGCAGTGTATAATTAGTGCATAGTAATCATTGAGGTAATATCTGGTAGGATTTTCAGACTGTTTCTCTGTAGCTGCTTTAACAATTCATGAGTAAAATTGTGTGGTTCACATTTTCTCCTCTACCTCATCTGATATCAGCAAGCTGTGAGTTAAATCATGGAGTGACTTAGCTCTATCCTTGTTTTTTTCTGCTGGAGCTACTCTGTAGTGAATCTGATTCAATATTCACTGAATCTCTGAGATGCATCTCAGACTCCAATCTCTGCAATGCCCTGAGAGCACTCTAACCCATAAGCTCTAGACTCAATTGTGGATATCTTTATTTCATTCCAAACCAGCAAATACTTAATTTTATCAAACCCTACAGCCAGAGCAGATTAAGGCCTGTACAATAATTACCCATAGACCTCTGAGAAATCTTCCTGACAGTCAAGGAACACACCTTCAAAATGCTTTATGATTAAACTATATAAAAAAAAGTGACTTAAGTTCATGATCATAAACACTTAAGTGAGAGACTAAAAGCAGAGATGCCCCCTTACTTATTGTCTCTACCAACTAGTTACCAGCAGCTCCCCATTCAGCTTACTGCCTTACTTTTCTACTAAGCACTTCCAGCACTGCCCAGGAAACCTAGTTACCCTTAGAGTTGATTATTTATGATCCATTGTCTGCAGCTTTTCATAATTTCTTTGTTTCAGTATTTATTTCCATACATTAAAAAACAAACAAAAAAACAAACAAACAAACAAAAAAAAAACACAGCATCCTGTTCCAGCTGCCATCTTTAGCCCAGAAGTTGGAAATCTTAAAAAAAAAAAAAAAAATCCAATCTGATTACCTGTAGAAAACTCCCTAATTACCAGCTCATTTTTTTTCATTTAGCACAGAGTGAAACTGCATACTTCTCATGGACATAAATACATTTTGAAATCTGGGCATGACTGGAGGTGGAATTTTTTTTAGCAAGATCTCCTGAGTGCGTTCTGACATTTCAAAATCCAGTGAGGGATACAGGTACTCAAAATCTGCTGAAAATCCTATTTTCCTTAACTAGAGACAAATTTAGATGTTCTCATTGTTCTGAAAATTCTGATTATAGTTCAATCTGGGTATGATTTGTGTCTCTCTCAGGTAAACTTGGCCTTTTCAGCTTTTACTTAGCAATGCATGGTTTCTGCTCTGTTACAGCCATCTCTGGCTTTGGATCAGAAGATTCTGTTAGGAGGTGATTGAATTTATATTCATCACAGAAAGCAATTAAGTAAAAGCAAATCATGATTAAGGACAAAGGGCAAAACACTGGGAGGGAAGCAGCAGAGACAGAAAGAATGCGAACACCCAGTTCAGTCCCTCGGGTTCTCTTGACAACAGCTATACCTCATCCTTTTTTTCCCTAGGAACTGTACTTAGTCTCCTGTTCTTGGCAAAAATCTGTGCTCATGATCTTATCCTGATGTTACTGTATTAGAATTGAATACCAACAACAGTAGAGTGTGAGAAGACGATGCGATATTGCTTTTAATCCCAAATGAATAAACTGCAATAAACGTTGCATAGAGCAAAACACCAAATTAATTAGAAGTGTTAGAAAACATAAAACAACATTTTGGTTTTTTCCTTCTCCCTGAGTTAGTCATCTGATTTCATTTTTCATTTAGTGCATTGCAGTTTTTTTTATGCCAGTCTGTTTCTAGATTTAGTATATTGCTATTTTCACAGCCAGGAAAATAACAAGACTCACTGCATTGCTCTCTCTGGATTTTTGTTTGTTTGTATGTTAATTCAGTCTGAGTAAATCAGAAAGAATTATACTACAGCATCAAATCAAGATAAGAAGCAATGCTGATCAAAAAGTAGAGGTTTCCATTTGAAGGGACAATTACCTTCCTGAATAAAACTTATTTTTGTTTCAGAATCCAAAACACCACTTTGAGTCAGAAACACCCAAAAAAAAATACAGCTTCTCAGCAACCCTGACATTTGAGAGCATTAATTTAAGTGGGTACGTGCAGTGGATTTCCTAGCTTTTCTTCAAAATACTTCCATTGCAGACTGACTTAAGACTCTTTGCCCTACTGCATTCTATGATGAATGTTTTGGATCCAGAGGAGTCCATTAAACCCAAAATGTGTTGAATAAATTTCCAAAAAGATTATATTTAGGTGGAAAAATCTATTAACAGCTCAAAAGAGAAGTGCCCTTAATGGAAATAAATATAGAATTATAATCTTCACCAGAAGAAATTATTTATCCTAATAATTAGAAATGCAGTTTAAAAAAGTGAAATGTACTTGCAAATTAGTTATGAATTTAGAAAAGTAGAAACAACTTAGTAGCAATTTTGAGTAATAAAATCAATTAAGTATTGATTAAATATTGCAAACATATTAATGGGAAAGACAAAAAATGAGGCCATTTTGAACTCTCCCAGGTAGAGACAACTTCAAGATTCTTTTCAATTTCTCTTTTTCCGTGATTGTTTGTTTCTCTAGGTCTAGCAGCCTATGAACTAAGTGAAATAACAATACAATTGATTTTGCACACTTCTTCCTATAAAAACAGGCCAAGATCTAAGTGAAATCCAATCAAGAATGTGGTATAAACACCCTCGTTCAGAGAAGCTTTTACCTAAAGTTAGGGGATTGAAGTCCATGCACTGGACCCTTGAATCTGCAGAAAGCCTCAGCGAAGTCCGCAAATAAATCTCAAGCCTGAGGATCTGAGCAGGGGAGAACCCTGCAGCTGGGGGCTCTTGCTGAGACTCCCACTTGACTTCATGCGTCACACTCAAGGTACTCCTCTCTTTGGAAAATCATTGCTATCAAGACCATCCTCATTGTTATCACATGTGATTAAGTGATTGCAAACAAATGCACCAGATATAAAGTTTTAAAAGCTACATTTTTGTCTCACAATGTTAATTTTTTTTAAACTATGCCTTTCAAAGCATCATTAATAAATCTCTACTGCCATTAAAATAAATAGAGAAGGGATTCCAAATCACATACACAAGATTACTCAAGAAATCTTGGAAAGGTGTAGGCTTGCATCTACCAACATCTGTAGTAGCAATAAAAATAATGTATAAAGAACAGTTTCAAGACAAAACAGTACACTAGCTTTCCACCATTTACACTCATTTTGAGAATATTCAAATTGAAAAAAAAAAAATCAAGAATTTTTTCATTGTATACAAAAGGCTGATGGAAAATAACAGCCTTCTCATTAACCTAAGTAAGATCTATTAGCAAGTTGTCACTCACTAAGATGGAGAGTTTCTCCCCAAGTTTGCATGGAAACTAGGAAGGTCAGTTTAGATTCATTATGTATGGAGCAAAGCAGTCTAAGACTAGGCTGTGGCTATGAGGATGAGGTGCTGGAGGCCCTTCTGTCATAGTGCTACACCGACTAATGAAACTCATTTATCAGCACTCTTTGCT